CAATGCCCTGGCAAGCACAGCAAAGAGACCACACTGAAAGATCTGGCCCAGCCTGATTTGAAACAAGAAAAATCACAAAACAAAAGAAAAACACAATTTCAAAGTAAAACTCTGAGAAAAACAAAAATGTGAGAGTGAAATAACCGTAGTTATACCATTATTGTTGTAAAATTAAAAGCAGATTTACATTTCAAGAAATATCAAATATCAACATTGTAATAGAAAGAAAAATAAAGCTTTTTTAGTCTTGTTCCAAGCATTTTGTGCTGTCTGCTTTTATTTGCTCTTTATGCAAACTAAGAACTGCCAAGAAGTCAATCATTTCACAACCCTTCTTTATAAACAGATTTGTTTAAACAAAAAAGCAGATTGCAATAAATAACTACTATAATCACCCTTCCTTTTCATTTTTATTGGATTTTCTATATTAATATGTGTATGCTGAACACATCAGTTATTCAGTTACAGTATGGGCTTTACCTACTTTTCTAATCCATTTCCTCCATTGACAGAACTATGCTCACAATTCACAAAACTTCTTTATAGACATTTACTTATTTCACAGTTCATTAACCTTCAAAAAGCACACCTGCCAGTTTGCAGGTGTATTATCTAAAGCAATGATACACTAAGTGCTAAAGTTTGTTTGTGTCAGAAATGCTTATGAAATGAATGTTTTTCTCCACTGAGCTACCCAGCTGAGCTGAATTTATTTCCATCAATTTGTAATAAGTTTTTCTCCTGATGTTAAGTGCAGTAGTTAAGCGCCAGTCACTGTAAATATGCACAAAACAGAATCAAACTGTACTATCTATCATTTTTTAAAGTACGCAAATGGCCATGTTTCATCTTTTTTAAATATTTGAAAAGGATCATTCACTCTTTAACTTATTTCCTTCTGCAGTAACACTACAAGGCTTCATTTAACAATTAACATATTTTAACAGCTTTTTCACACAGCAGGTAAAATCTCATCAAGTGTCGTATTCTTTCTTTCAACAATTCTCTGTGGAGCACAGTGACATTTTCAGTTTTCTGTAGCTGGACTAGTCTTACATTGGCTCATTTTCAACTGACCTCAGGGTTTTCACATCGTCAATAAAGAGATAATCAAAACAAAGGGTATATACATCAGGGTAGGAAAATTTTGCATAGTTTGGCACTATTATCCTATATGACCTTAAAAATGGAACAAAATTAAATGCACGTAGCAGAGGTGGTGAACCTTCTAAGGACTGCTTCCAAACATTTTTCCTACTGGCAGCAAACCATTTTCAGACCTCCCAACTCTGGCCACCGTGATAGTTACTGCTGTACAGGGTTTATTTCTTTTTGTTTCAGCTGTCAAAAAAAACTTCAAGTGATAGCTTTTTAAGTAAACTAAACATATTGAAATCAAAACAAAACCGTGACATCACTGGGACAACAGAAACACCACTCAAAGAGAATGTTGTGTTTAGATTCTAGGCTTGTTTACCAATGGTTTTAACTTCTTTCACATTATGTCACAAAGTGCTATTGCACCTGAAACCTGATCAAAAGCTCATCAAAAAAATTTAAGTGCCCTCTTATTTCTGGTATAACACATGTAAACCAACTACATCTGCTAGTCATGCCTCAATAGTAATTAGTATTGTTTAGGATGAAGATCATCATAACTGTGCTTACTTCATTTCTTACTGTTGAAAACAATTGTGCAAGATAGAGCTCAAACTTAAACTACACTTTTAAAGCACTAATGTTTTCTGAGCTAATTTTGCTAAGCCATCATTAAAATTCCAAACAGGAAATTATACCCCCAAAAAATCCATTTACCTCATAACAAACACTAATAGAATTTGCCAACAAAGAGAGTGAAACCAATGAACTTCCAGGGATACATGACCTACAAAAAAAAAACTGTTACAACATGTTACTTGCAAGCCTCAGGCCCTATCAGACCTGGCTTTTAAAACAATGCGTGTAGGTGGAGGGCTGGCTATATCAAGTGGAATCAGGACACTCCAGCAGAACCAGTATGGCACCCCAGGGGTTAATACTGCATCCAGTCCTGATCCATGTCTTCATTAATGATCAGGGTGATGGGGTAGGGTGCAGCTTTAGCAAGTGTGCTGCTGGAAAAAAACATGGAAAGGGCAACGGACACACTAGGGGGTCGTGCTGCTGTTGAGAGGGATTTTGACAAGCTGAAGAAATGTGCTGACATGAACCTCATGGAGTTCAGGGAAAGGAAATGTAAAGTCCTGAATCAGGAGACAAACAATGCCAAGCACCTGCACGTGCTGGAGTTCACTCGGCTTAAAGCAGCTTTGCAAAAAAGGACCTCAGGGTCAAGGTGGTCATGACTGTGAGCACCAGCAGTGTGGCCCTGCAAGGACACATTAACAGCAACCTAGGCTCAGTAGGGGTTTAGAGAGATGATCCTTCTCCTCTATGCTCAGGCCACACCTGAGATATCATGTCCAGCTCTGGGCATACTGAAGACAAGCCAGTGAAAGGCCATAAAGAAACTAAAGGATTAATTAAAGGCTTTATTAAAGCATTGGAGCATCTCTCATATGACAAAAGCCTGAGAGGACTGAGCTGTTTAGCCTAGGAAAGTGAGTGGGGCATCTTACCACTGTGTATAAATATCTGAAGGAAGGCTGTAAAGATGGAGCCAGACTGTTCAGTGGTGCCCAGAGAGAGGACAAGATGCAAAGGGCACAAACCGAAACCCAGGGGGCTCCCTCTGAACATTGGGAAACTCACACTGACCCATGTGGCCCAAAGAGATTGTAGAGTCTCATGCCTTGAGACATTCAAGATACATCTGGATATGGTCCTGGACAGCTGGCTCTGGGTGGCCCTGCTTGAGCTCCAGAGCTCCCCTCCAACCTCAGCCATGACATGATTCTGTGACATGATTCTGCATATGATCCCATTGCATCATATGCGGCTGCTTCAGCAAACCTGAAGATAACCTGCAGAGTACCATTAAGCTAAATAATAATAAAAGGTTTCTTATGAAATAACTGAGAGCCTGTGGAGGGTTTCTTTTATTACAGGATTTACTATGCTAATTTAATTACAACAAGGTGATTACAAAGTAATCCTATTTAGGCAGGAAGTTGACATTGCAACTCTGAACACCTTACTCAGCACAGGATTAGAACTGCCTTTTGGTGGTTATTTTCACCTCCAGAAAGAAGCACTTCAAGGCAAGTTATGAACGTGTTTTAGCACACAAGATTGTACAAAGACTGTTCTACAAATAGACACGCAGGAAGAAAGGTGTGTGGTTTTAATGCAGGCCAAAATGTTATTAGCTTTCCTCATCTGGGAATGACCAACAACAATAGCTTGTACACTGCAAAATTTCTTCCCTTATGACTTCCACTTGTTGGAGGGCTGCCATCTGCCCTGCATCTCCCTGCAGCTGCTTTCCCATCTGCTGCTGGAAGCCACTGCCCTCCCTTTAGGTAAGACCTGAGGCCTGGAGATGGATGATACAGTTGCTCTTAGCAACCAAAGTCTTTTCCCAATTCCCAGAGACCCAGACCTGCAGTGGATTGCTGCCACAGCACAGTCATGTAAAAGGTTCAGGCTCAACAGCCTTGTGCAGAAACTGAGCAGAGGCATCAGATACCTGTGAGAAGCCAGTTGTTTCTTCACCAGGATTGCAGAATCCCAGCAGCCCCTCATCAAGAACACCCTAACTCAGCTCTTTGCACCACTGCCCATCAGCCAGCCAGACTGTAACACACTGAATACAAACCAGTGTGGTACGGGATTAGGAAGTCTAATCAGTGGAGAACCAATGGAGTTAATCACCATTCTCAGCAGTATGACAGGTCATATATGCCTTGCAAAACAGATTTGCACAGCCCAGGATTTAAAATACTCAATCTTTCCTACTCAAATGCTAGATTGAGATCATTGAAATTGCTGGAGTCTTTATCCTTGTTCTATTATGATTACTTTGTATTATACGCATATGATGGTTGGCCCATAAAAGACAAGCTGGAAATGCCAAATTTCATCTGTATCTTCTTAGCATGCAGAGCACAAGACATACAGCAAAAAGGGATAATCAGAATCTCAGAAATATTTATTTCCTGTTTCCACAAGAAGGATGAGTTTAAGCCATTTTTTCCAAGAGTTGTGCTAGCCAGACATTCTATAAGATTCCTGTATACCTTAAATAATATACTTCTCTGAATAGAAACTATTTGCTCTGTATGACTAAATTCCACAGGTATTTGTTTCCTGAAAGATGCAAACACATTAAAAATAAAATCATGAAGTTTTAATAGCAATCAATCTAATCAGTACTGTGTGCTCCAAGCCTATGAAGTTTTTTAAAACACGACAAAAATAGTTAATGGACATTTTAAACACTGGATTTATATATTCCCTTAAATGTGACAACCATCTCAAATGGGTATTCCATTTTTATCCATATTTTTGTGGTCTTATTTTTTTTAGATACATAAATAATTAATAACTGGTCTGGTTTAAAGAACGAAATTACTCATATTTTAAAGATAAATGTTGACTGCACTTGAAAAAAATAACCAGAGATTAATAATATGCATCTTTCAACAGATCCCTTAAAAATACATCAATAGCTTCATCCTTCAGAACAGAAATACACAGAAGTAAGGGAGCATCCACCAGAGCAATCAAAAGAGAAACTCAGTCACCAAACAGATAAGGGATCAGGTCATAATATCACAACCATCAAGGTTCACCTCCCCCCACCAAAGCCAATGAGAATTAGACACAAACATTTTCTTAAAAGGCAATCATAAGCACTTCTAAAAAGTTCTAGAATGAGAGCTGGTGTACTATCAAAATTATATATACACCAAACACATTGGCATTTAAATTGTTTTAAAGTATTCATTATTCTTTAACAACTTTCCTGCCACAAAGACTTGAATCAAACATATCAAAACCTTGGTACTGGCCATGAACTCAATATTTCTATTGCATTTCATGATTAGGAAATACAATACCTCTGTCTGAAGTATGGCAGCTCTCTGTTCTTTGGCAGTAAGGGACTCTTTAAGCACTTCAATGTGTTGCTTGCAATCTGAATTCTGATTGCTAAGGGTTTCAAGCTTAGTTTGTAAGGCAAGAAGTTCTGATTCTTTCTTTGAGAGTTCTTGTTTCAGTTGATCAATCTGCAGTGGGGGGAAAAACATTAGGTCATTAATTTTGTCTCCAATTTATAGCTCCACTGGAAATCTGAAAGGTGTGAATGACCGTGATATGACAAATCAGACACCTGTGAATTCTGGAAGAGAATTAAGGTTCAGACTTTTTACACTCACACCTTCAATTGTGTTTCTTGCAACTTAATGCACTCTGTCTTAAGAATGAATGGCCTGTTGTTGCAGAAGTTAAAGGGAAAATTTTAAAGATGATTTGGCCTATAAATTCACCACGGACCTCACTTAAGTTCAAAGGCATGTATCCCATGTGAGGCAAGTCTGGCAGGACAGCAAAAATGCACAGGAAAAAAAGTGTTCATAAAAGCATACATTCAATCCTTCCAAGAGCATGATTTCCATGACTTATTATTGGCCAGAATTAATCAGGAATTTTTTAGAAGTCTGATAAAGAAAAACCAGCATCTTGGGAGAGAAAAACAGAAAAGTGGACTTTTAACCTTGCTCCTCTTCTTGCAAATTTGTTGCTACCCACCATCCCCACCTCCTGTTTTTCTCCCTGGCAGTTCACATGGAATTCTCAGGTAGTAGAAAAGTTAAGCCAAGAAGACTAACTTAAGAGAAGTCTGGGGAAAAGCTTATACAAAATTCCACACAATGAAAGGGCTCCGAGATTATAAAAGCTTGTCCCAGAGGAAACAGCAGAAACACAATACTAAGACAGGGCTTCTGAATTTAAGTGAATTTAAGGTTCATCAGTAAATGTCATGGAATTGTGATTACTCTCCTCTTTCCACAAATCGGAAGAATAGCCACAGAACACAAAATTCTGGTGGATTTAGAATATATGAATCAGAGAAAGCACTGGACTATATACAGAATGATGTGTATAAGTGAAAGGATGGTGAATTAGGTGGCATATAACTACTCCTAAATTCTTGTGGTATAACACTGGTCACCAGCTGAATCCAGATACATTACCTCATGAGGATTATTTGAAATAAAATGCCTCACTGCATCTGCATAACTCAGAGAAATCACTTTCTTTATATGAATAGCTCTTTTCCATGTCCCAACAGACATTTACAATACAAGAAATCTAGAAGTGGTAGATGGACGATGATTCAAAAATCCCCAGGGGAAAAAAAAAAGAATATCCATGGGTTGATATTACCCAACCACATTCCAAAGATCCACATACTAAAACATTTCACAAATTCAGTGTTGCATGGTACTGGAAATATTCACTGCTGATCAAAATGCTTCTATTTTGTTTTACATTGCAAATGCATATTTTAAAATTAAATTTAAAAACAATGATTCTTCCAACTACAGTCTGTATGCATGTCTAAATATATTTACTCCTTATTCCTTTTTATAAATCCCAGTATGTTTGCATCGTTGCTTAAGGTGCTCAGATAGTCACCCATGAGCTACTGCATAAAATCAAGAATCTACCCTGGCACTAAAAAAAATCACCTTTAAAGTCAGAAAATATCAAAATAAGAAAAGAAGCATACGAAAACCAGACATGAGGAAAGAATGCAATTAAAAGCTGCTAGAGAAAGCTTTCTCTGGAAAGCAAACCACCTTCCTCCATCCCTTGCCAGAGCATGTAAGCAAGTATGGCAACCAAGAGAAAATGGATAGAAAATGAACAATGGGAAAATCTGTCTGCAAGACACAAAGACAAAACGTGGATCTGCAGCCAATCTGAATTACATCACAGGCTTTATATGAGATGCATGTGAACATCACAGATGCTTAATCTCTTCTAGAAACTCTTCCCCCTTCTCTCCATGACACAACCCACACCCTGAGAAATAATAAAAAAAAAAATTTTAAAGGCTTTGCTTTCATTGCAGGTGTGTTCTTTGTGTTTTAGAAACAGAATCTGTTTAGTGTAAAGTTCTGGCTACAAGATCTACAAATTGTCAGGAGTTTAAAAATGTGTTACAGCTCTCAAATAAAAAAAAATTCAGAGTTAAAACACAAACCAAACACAAAGATTGTTGAATAAATATGCTGTGTCTTCTTAAAATAAAGTATCATGGTGAAAAAGTACTAAGATTTTCTAACTGCCACAAGAATAAAGAGGTATAATAAAAAAACTACAAAACTCATATTAAGACATTTTAGGCATGGGTACATTCACTTTTTTGAAGTTCTGCAGTATCTCAGTGTGTAAAAAAACTAATTAAACAGGACATGAAATAGATTGGTGCCTTGAGCAGATATGCAAACATGTTTTGCTGTATCTAAAGTGATGTAGAAGACCAACTGTCATGATTCAATGAAACCTCATGATCTCATATAATACAACAAAAACAATCTCATACTTTGTAAGGACTAAAATTAAGATAACCAACATGTCTGGATCTAAGTGCTGCAGCACCAAAAAAACTCCAAATCTGTCCTCTGACCCTGACCTTCCCACTATCTCACATATTTCATGTGTGTAATTTGTCTGTCACCACGTTTTCAACATTGCCCAATATGATCTTGCTTCACCTCCTTTCCTGAAACCCTAATTCCTTTTTCTTCCTTCTTAATTTACGATTCTGTCACCTCCCATAATTTCGGTTCTTTAGAACCCATTAATTTTCAATTTCCGGAAAACCATTATGGGTGTTCTTCTGTTATTTTTACACACCAAATTCTTATGTGACATTATGCAGAGTAACCAGAAAACATAGGGGAAAAAATCAGAGCTTTTCTTCTGAATATTGCATATTAAAATTAATGGACTAAATCTTTAAATAAATAATTCCATTAAATGAAACTATGCTGACTAACACATCATAGGGTTTCATTTGATTCAACAAATGACAACTGCTTTTTGAAGTGAAGGATTTAAGAAAAGGAGTAGCAATGCAAATAACATGCCTGCATACAGCAAACCCTACAATTCTATCAATAGATTCTACAGGTTATGACAGTAAAGATCTTGTTTTAAATTGATGCTAAATTTCCAGGCCTGCCCACACAAAAATAAAACTCTGTAGCTCTTCCCCTGTTTTGCTGTTTTGGTTATGTTTTGATGTGGTTTTTTTCTTTTTTTTCCTAGAGGATCTCCTAGAACTTGCATGCTCCCTTCATTCAGTATGGAAAGCTGTTACATGCACCATTAATCACAGAGCACCTTATTACTGCTTTGTCAATACTTAAAACTCATATTACTGGTAATTTGCTGAAATTGTACTCATCTCCTACTAGATTTTCATACCATTCCAGTGGATAGCATGAAAGTTCTAATACTCAAAGTACTACTTAAATGCCAAGTGCAAACTCACACCTGAAAACAAAATACATCTGTGTTCATTTAAATATGAAGCTGGCAGCCAAAGGACTATTCTTCCCCAGTAAGGGAAGAAAGTCTTCCAAAGCAGAAATTATTATTAAAAGTACATATCATCCTATATTTTTATTCATATTCTCAATCAATTTGAAGGTGCAGATCTCTTGGTCATATGAACTTTAAGACCTGTTCTCTATTATCTGAGTAATGACAAGTTTTCCCCACTTCAGAAACTGAGCAAGGAGAGGCCTTAGCAAGTGAGCAAGAAAAACAAATCTGAGCAAGTTTTCTTTCTCATCTTTACAACTTTTTTTATCTGCAAGTCACAATTAAACCCTATATATTTGGAAGGAGTGAATATTACTAAGAAATAGTCAAGAAAAGAAGCACTTCCAAACATTCTCTGCCACTCATGTAAACAAGTGATGTTCAGTATTTGCCATCATTTAACACTTTCCCATTTATTGAAATAAATAACAGATTGAAAACAAGTTATACTTCAAGAATATGAAAAGTAAAAAGAGCTTCAAGCATTTCAGAAGAGTTTTGTACTGTTCTTTGCCATCAATCCTGTTTATCAGAATTTATCAACAATCTCAGATTCAACAGATCAGGTACAGCAAGATCTGTTTGCTGACAGCTCCATAAATACTTCTCCACCTTGAAAGGCTCTCAGATGAGTCATAACATCTTCTGCTGCAAATCTTTTTTAAGTGGAAGAAAAAGACTAGTGAAAGAATACAGACAAAGCTTCATCAGAACATGGCATTTATCAAAAATCAGAAGGCTGTGACAAAACAATGCATATTTAATACTCTTCTCATTCATCTGCTTGCCATGCTACAGAAATATACTGAAGCTTTTCCTCACAAAAACATTGGGAGAGTGTTGAGGTTCTAGGCTTTGTACCTTATTTTTATATCAACAGGTTTGCTCACATGCATTGGGAGTTTTGCTGTAAGTCACTAAAACTGAATTGCTTTGAAATTAATGATGTTTAGGGTAGCAAAATCATTTTCATGATGATAATGCTACTTAGGAGCTTTAGTTATTTTTCAGTAGCTTAAGAGTTATGTTTTTCCAACAGAATAAATATGTTCTTTGATTATTATTTTTTCTTAATAAATCTGGATTAATTCCACATGGGCACTAATATCTTCATTTCGTCTGTAGCAAAAACTCCCAAACAATGAACAAGCAATAAAGTTTTGTGCGTTTGAAACCAGGAAATGTATCACACCACTACATATTTACTACCTGCCTGTGGTCAGCTCCTAATAGTCTATGTACAGTAAATTGAAATTAAAGGAACAAAGTCATTAAATTGCTAGTCTTAAAAATATGAGCAGAGTACAATTTGGTATCACCTATGAAACAAAAGTCCTTACTGCAAAATGATATCAAAAGCTAAAATCAAATAATTTTCATGTACCCAAAATGTTTCACTCCTCCATGTCTACTGATTATTATATAGTAGAGATTTACCAAAAGGAGATGGGCAGATTCTTGCATTGGAAACAGTCATATTAAAACTTTTCTTTCCATTATTAAAACAGTCTTAATCTCTTTTATAAATAGATCCTACCTTATTTTTCATGAACTTTGAGTGACTCTTGTAAACTTCTATTTGTTTGATTTCTTCTTCTCGGTCCTCTGTATTCAGAACTCCATTTGTCTTTAACATCTGTATTTCATCTTCAAGATCTCTTATATTGCGCTCAAGTGAAGCTATTTTTGTATCCTACATTACAAAAAAAGAAAGTATTGAAAATTATATGAGACATATATTACAGAGTAACAGAAACATATCTGTACTTGAGTGAATATCAAATAATGAGACAGCAAAAGAAATTGTACAAATAGAGAACCACATAAACCAGGAATAATTCTATCAGTTTTAGCTTAAAGAAATGCAGAATTCAGACCAGATCTCTTTCATCATAGTCGCACAGTCTGTAGAGAATTTGACATTCTGGTCAAAATTTAATTCCTTCATGCCTAATAGGGATGAAGGGAGAATAGCAGATGCCCTATCTCTTTCCACATATGTATGATAACAAACCTTATTATCATTAGTAACCATCTAGGCCTGGCTGTTCTTCCAAGCTGAGCCTGGGGGACCAGCCCATGCCTCTGCAGGGCAAAGGCCACTTCACTGTGTGGCTCTAGTTTCTCTGGAGTTCTGCCTGCTCTCAAGAGGGACAAAGGTTGTGTCCTCATATATTTTTCCTTGACTACTCTAGCCACATCATTAAGAGAGGATGTAGCATTTTTATTGTGAGTCCCAAGATAAACAAAACCACAACCACTAAAAATTTCTACATCCCAGCCAACAGCTGCCATTTGTGCCAGCACTGCACTGAAAACATTTAAATTTTTTTGTTATTTCCAGTCATTTGGGAATTGGCTAAGTCCCTTTTGTGAGAGTTAGAAAGATTACAAAAGTGATTACACAAATTTGTCCCAAATTTCTATTTGAAAGAACATTGCAGAATTATTCATTAGGAAATCTTTTCAACAACATAAAGGATCAACCACCCACAAAATATTAGAGACTGGATGAAGCTCTTGTACCATTGAGATCAATATTAAATAAAAATTTAAAATAAATTTAAATTTAAAAAGTAGAGAAAACACCACACAAAACCCAACCTGATTCACTAAGACCAGGTTATTAAGTTAGAAAGCTAATTTGGGAAAAAAATACAAATGGAATTGATCCTTTAACAGGGTCAAGCTAAGTTTGAATCACTGCAACTTTGTTTCTGTTGCTTTCTTTAGATTGCCTGAAAACAAGCAAAAACCCCAACTCCTGTAATAACTTATTTCATAACAAAGCTAGGAAAATGTAGCAATTTAAGATACAGCAGTTTAAGATACAGGAGAGTCTGGATGATGCTCCAAACAGCATCTGAATTTTTGATATTGAAGTTAAAAAGAATCTCAGATTATTTTTGAAGCCCAAAAGTAATTTATATTAATAATAATAATAATATATATAAAATATGGTTACTTTACAAATCCATATAGAATGATAGCTAAGGACTAAGCAATGCCATTTAGATGGCCCATTGTCACTCCTCTAACTTTTTTGCTTTTATTTTTATAGTCAGCAATAAATCTCAAATTGAGAGAAGTTTTATCATTTTCTTATTCCAACAAAAATTAGTTTCAAAATTCATTTCAATTCTAAAACAGGGAAATAAAATATTGAGCTAGAATAAAAAAAGGGAAGAAGTCTCATTGATTCTTATCATTTAAAGAAGTTGCACAAGAGGTCAAATACTGGAAGAAAATACACAGAAGTATTTAAAAGCTCTCCAGACTTAAACACAACACAAAAATAATTGTAGATCTCACAGAAACTAGAAATAATTCAGCCTGCTCCATTAGGTTAATTTCAGAAATATTTTCATCCTATTTTTGAAGATAAAAGTTAAACCTAAGGTTCACTACACTTCAGAATGATTTTGCAATGAAATATATTAATACTTACATGACCTGCTATGACATGACATATGGGAATAGTCTTCATCAAATCTGCCCAGCTAAGTCTATAAGAGTCTGCCTTTTTCTACTGCCTTTGTATTTTACATGTTTGTAAATATAATACAGCAGAAACAATTTCAGCACAGCCTACTATGCTCTTTAAAACATTTATACATCACAGAGTAACATTTAAGCTTTGTGAGAAATACCTAAAAAAAGGTGTGGAAGCATTTTCAGTACTTCTGCTTCACCATAAAATTGAAATCTCTGAAGAAAAGTTTATTTTTAATCAATCTTTGCATACTGTGATTAAATATGGATAAAAGCTGATTTCCTATGTCTTGAAAAATTGTTACTAAGTTCTACATTAGCTTTTTATTGAGGCAGGAGCCAGAAATTTCACAAGTTTTGTAAAACTCAAAGGTACTGTTCCCTACTGCATGCTGGCTTGCCCAGGAAACCTTCCAGGTTTCTAGCCTGGACAGGTGCTGGAAAGTGAAGAACCTTGTGGGACAAAGATAACACGGAGAGCCCAGAGCTCCCAGTGGCACTGCCACAAGGGAGCTGGGCTGGCTTACAGGTAGCTTTGCATTTGCCAAAAGTTCTGACACATTCCCATTAAAAAAAAAAAAAAAAATACTTTCAACCAGTCTTGTTGGGGCACAGGGTCCAGCAAGTTTTCAGAAACCTAAATAGGAACTGATGCAGTATTTCCTTCAAACCTCTAAGATTTATCCCCATTAGCAACATTCTAAAAAACTACATAGGTCTATCTTAAATCACAACCAAGATTCATTTGCAATATTAAGGAAGTAGCTTAGTATTAAATGGTACTAACAACATCTTCTGAGATCTAAAACAATACAGCATTTGTTCAGATTTTTTTCAGTCAGGCTCTCTAAATCTATTAAAAGATGTAAGATTGTGTAGCAGGATTTGTGACAGAGATCAGGGTATTCACCCTAATCTATCCCCTCCTTCCAGCAGTAACCAATACTTCTTCCTTATCTCCTTTATTAGAATATGTTACAGATATTCTGTGAGAGGTCAGGGCTATTTAGGTTTCTGCTGGCTGGACCTAGCAGTAACTAGCTCTTTTGGAATGTGAAAAAATATTAGTATGTGTCCTGATGCTGAGGGAAACAATATTTCACAATGGAAAAAGTCTAACAAGTGAGTTTCCACAATGATGTTTCATGAATCATATCAGTCCTTACAAGACTCCTATAGCTCATTTCCTGAAAACTGAGGGGCAGGAAAAGGGCAAAACATTTGTAAATAACCACAGAATCACAGATTATTCTGAGCTGGAAGGGACCCACAATGATCATCAAGTTCAACTCTATATAATACAGTTTTCCAGGCTTACTCTGAAAGGAAAAGAAAGGAAATGCTACTGCTCATCATTTGAGATACATCATCAATTACATCCACAAAATTTTGTTTATAGGGCATTCAACAAGCAATCAGAAGGAAATATTTGAAACTTTACATTTAATAAAGCTTGAATTTAAACACACTTATGTGCACAGACTGTCAACAGACCATACACAACTACCCTTACTGTATGAATTTTTACCTTGTCAATTTTTTGCAGAGAATACTCAGGTTTATCTTTGAAGATAAGGGAAGTGAAAGTTCATGCAATCTTAACAATAGAGTATGTTGCACTGCAAACACACACACACTTCTCTAGAACCAAACCCATACCTGAAATATCACAGCTGGATCAATACATAAAAATGGCTCTTTCTGCAAGTAAAGTAAACCAAAAATATTTTTATTTACTTTACAGCTTACATTTATAAAGACTTTATAGTTGCTAGACTCCACGTATTTTTCATTGTCCTATCCTTAAGATGAGTTCTAGGCTACATATACTTGTAGGCAATTTCTGATTTTCTCTCTCAAGTACTATCACTGTATTAGTGATGATAGAATTAGACCTTAGCAATATGTAATGGCTGGGCTGGAAGCAGCATTTAAAGGTCATCTATCTAATCCAACCCCTGCCATGGGCAGGGACACCTTCCACTATTCCAGGTTGTTCCAAGCCCCTCCAATCTGGTTAGGAACACCTTTAGGGGAAGGGACAGCCACAGCTTCTCTGGGCAACCTGTGCCAAGGCTCCACCACACTCATCATAATATTATTTTTCTTCCTAGATCCAATCTAAATTTATTCTATTTCAGTTTAAAGTTCTTGTTCCTTGTCCTACCACAACAGGCCCTACTGAAAGGTCTGTCCCCATCTTTGCTGCGTGTCCCCTTTCAGCACTGAAAGGCTACAAGGGCACGGAGATCCTTCTCTTCTGCAGGCTGGACAGCCCCAGCTGTGCCAGCCTGTCTGCACAGGAGAGCTGCTCCAGCCCTCGGATCATTGCTCTGGCTCTCCTCTGGATTTGTTCCAACAGGTCCACGTCTGGTTTTGTCCTGTGGAGCCCGGAACAGAAGGCAGCACTGCAGGTGGGGCCTCATGAGGGATGAGCAAGCTTTGAACCAATTCATGTGCTCAGCAGCACTTACCATAAAAAAAAAAGTGAAAAGGGTGTTTCCTTTTAATCTTTCTTTAAATTATATTAATAGGTGTTAATCAACATTGAATATCACTGATATTCAGGATACATTCAAAAATATCAGTCATCTGGCATCTGGCAGCACACAACATACAAGGAAGCATGCATAGGTGCAATTGCAAATAAAGGAAATTATTTCCATGTACCAGTTTTATTTTATACTTTAAGATTTAGGCATGAGGGAAAAAATGCAGTTTAATCGCATCTACCCACAGTCACGAAGTCAAAAGCAACCACTGCATCAAAACTAGACTAGTTTGAGACAATAATAGGAGCATGTGGGAGAAGGAAGCATCCTGCCCTCCCTTAGTTTTGTGACTTTGCTTTCTAGAAGAAAAATGGGCTTCTGGAGAATAAGGTCAGTTGCAGAAAAGAGAACGGAGTAATCAGTGTCGTGAGAAGCAATAGAACAAAAGACATGGGGTATCTGGAAGCAAATGTGTCCATGAAGCAGAACCAGAAAGTTAGGAAAGAACAGCCTGTACAATGCATCTGAAAAGGCAACAGATACCTGGAAATGAATAAATAAAGCAAGAAAAGCAGGAGCCAAGATATAGGATGTGAATTTTCCATCTATTTTGTTTGCCTTTTTTTTATTTTGCATCAATATACAGGAGTTAAACACTGGTCAACAAGACAGCAGTTATGCAGAAAATGCAATTGCTGTAAGAATAAGCAACTACTTGCAAAGCTGTAGAGAGAAATTAAGATGACAGGACATGTAGTGCAGAAGATGTCTAGGACAAATAAACACAAGAGAGTATAGGTAGGAGAAATGGGTATCCTTGATTGGATGAAAGGGAATACAGACTGGGAAAAGGGACAGAAAGAATTCAGCAGTGGCAAGGGACAGAAGAAAACCACAGAGAGAATAGAAGGATTTATGAAGGAGGGCAACTTGCATCCTGGCAGAGCCTGGGGGAGCCATGGAAGGCTCTCAGACAAAAGCTTGAGTGGAAGGGGCTGGAAGGGGCTGGGTGTGGTGAAGAGAAATGTAAACTGCTTTGAGTCTCTGCGTGGGGCAGTGGATGGCCTGAGACTGCCATGTTGCAGCTAATCCTCTCCCTCCTTCTACCCTCAACATTGTAGGGAAACAATTCCTTCAAAGCTTGATCATTTGAAACAAATGTTCCACATTTTTTTCAAAACAAATGCTGTCTGGATTCAGACAATTTAAATTTACTTGAAAACATTCAAAATCTGAAACTTGTAAAGAAAACTGCTGTTTAATCATGTGGATTTCAACATCTCACATTTGTCCTTTTTTCTTTTCAATATTAGGCCTACTTTAGACAGGGGCAACCCCAAAGGGGCGTGTGTTCATAGGGACAGAAAGAACTATGCACCTCAGAGGCAAAGAGCAGCATCAGGACTCCAGCAACAGGACTGTAACCTCACTCACAGCAAATGAAAGCCCTCACTATAGAGCTGGTTTTTAAAAAGTGGAATATTGCAGCACACCCACCTCCCCTGGGAATCAAACAGAAAATACTTCAGTGTCCTCAGGGACAGACACTGTCAAGAGCAACAACAGTCATCACATGTGTCATTCATCTGTCCTGTACTCCCCATCCCTCATCTTTTCAAAGATTTTTGGTACAGGAAGAAGAACTGAAAATTAACTTCAACATGTCCTTTACATTGTTATATAACCCATGTGAAAGATTATACATTATTCTAACACATTGCTTTTGTATCCCAGAACTTTTAAATGTGTAATTCTGAATATTTCTAGAAAAAACAAGTTTCTCAGCCAGTCTCTTACTTTCCCATTTACTTAGGGTAGTGAGTTACTGCAAAAACATAGATTTCATACAAAGACTTCTGAACTAATTTCCAAAGCAAATATACATCCAAAAATGGAATTCTGTAATCAATGTATCTTCTTTGTTACTAATATAATCCAAACTAATTACTATCTATTAAAAGGCAGATATTGTATTGATAAAGTCCTGCTGTTGTTTTAACTATGTGTTTACCACAATGTTCAGACATGCTGAACCCATTTGCTCATAACAGAAGTCATTGGCAAAATGAGGCCTTTAATTTGCACTTTTTTTTTAAGAATGAAATGAAAGATCATCATTAAAGAATTTCAGGCAGCATTGCCAACTCACAAATTATCTCAAGTCTTATGGTATTTCTCTTAAAGATGAACAATCCAGACTCACAGAATTATGCAGAAATATCAGTTTTCACTTTTTAAATTACTATTTTTATTCCTTGTTATTGTGGAGTGAAAAGCCATAACACTTTAATAATATTATATACCAAAAAGAGTAAACTATATTCAGGACTAAGAGAGCTATTTCATCACATTTTGTCATACATGCTGATGCAACTAATATTTTCCTTAGGTTGGCTGTAAAATTATGGCCTAATAACAACCAACAGAAGAACTGGTTTTAAGGTTTGAGGAGGAAAATATTTTACATTAGCCAGTTTATTCCATGTACTTTGGATCTCCTACACACACCCCCTTGTCTTTTAAAAAGGAATAGTCTGTTCTCATTTTTCAGCAATGCTACACTTGATATTTTTGATCAATTTTATTTAGAAAACAGACCAGGAGAAATAAGTACTAATTAGTCCTAGCTACATAACAAAATGAAAGCATTCAATAACTATCAAGTAAATGAAGCATTCAATAACTATCAAGTAAAAGTCATAAATCAACACTTGCTAGGCAGCTGTCACAGCTGCTTGTTCACTCCCCCTCAGTGGGCTGGGCAAGAGAATCAGGGAGCAGAAGTGGGAAAACCCATTGTTTGAGATAAAGCTGGTGTAATATGTAAGGCAAAGCTGTGCATGCAATCAAAGCAATACATGGAATTCATGCAGTGCTTCCCTTGGGCAGGTAGATGCCTGGCTGTTTTCAGGGGAGCTCCATCAGGCACAAGAGTTATTTGGGAACACAAATGCTGTGACTCTGAAGTCCCTCCCTTCAGTCTGTGGAGGCTGAGCATGACGTGACAGTATGGATTATCCCTGTGAATAATCCATTTAGGTCAGCTGTCCCCACTGTGTTCCCTCCCAGCCTCTTGTCTACCCCCACCCTACTTGCAGGATGGGAGCAGAAAGAGAAACTGGGCAAGCTTTGACTCTGTGTAAGCCCTGTTGGTCAACAGCTAAAACATCAGCATGTTGTCAACACTGTTTTCAGTTTGAAATTCAAAACACAGCACCAGACAGGCTGCTACAGGGTAAATTAACTCCATCCCACCCATACCCAGTACATGACTTCATGCTGTAGAAATAACATACAAGGAAACATGCAAAGACCATACCTTCATTTCAATGACTGTTTGCAGAGCCTTCGTCTTTGCTGGCTCGGGCTGAAGTTGGGTTCTTCTATGCAATTCCTGTGGAGGGACACGATAGAAATAAGCTTGACGACTCATCTTACCATTATTTTAATCGCTCACATGAACTCACTGCAACAAAATAAAAGTCTGATGACAAGAAGCAGGTAACTCCAAGTGCTACAGGTGCTTCCCTGGCTGTTTCCCCTCTGCCACCACTGCACTCCCTATCTTATGTTACAGCCAACTCTGACAGCACATGCGCTATTTCTGAAACCCCTTATCAATAATTAACGGCAGGCGTGACAACCCAGCCAGGAATTTCTTAGTCCAGATACAATGCTGCTGCTGCTGCTTAAACACCAAAACTTTCTTCAATTCTGTTACTAATTCAAACACTGGTAAGTGTTAAATCTCTTACCGCAGTTTCTTCTTAATTTTTCCTCTATTGTCTGAAATAAGCAATTTAAACACATTATATTCAAATTTGACATTTTAAGGATAATAATTATGTAGTGGGCTGACGCAGCACATGCTACAGTAGCATTAACATTTCAGTTTCACATTTTCATACTGTTTTTTATGCATCTTAATCCACAGGCAAAAGAAAAATGGATTGCGTTTGTTTAAGACAAAGTTTACAGTACCAATACATACTGGTCTTTATAAAAACAATTAATTTAAAAAAACCCACAAGAGTATGAAGACAGCAGCACTCAGTTTCATGAAAGTTGCATCTTGGTATGATATATCCCAATAAAAAAACTCACATAACTACCTGGAAAAAATGTACTGAAGGTGTGACAAAACACTTTCATTTGAGAATTCGGTGATGCTTATTCCCTTCCCATAAACCATCTGAGAAGTTTATTAATAAAAAATCCTGAAACAGGACAGATATTGTGCCATTTCTACTCCTTTGGAGTCTTTCTGCTCTATAGGACAGAAGTGCCATCCTTGAAGTCTTTATGTCCCAGTTCTTTCTACTGCAGTGCTCCACACAGACTCCTGAACTAACCTTGTAGCCATGAAAAAGATGTTTATGCTTGAGGCCAAGGAGCCAAGGTCTTGCCTCCCTTATAACCCACAAGTTTAAAAGTCATTTTTTGTATCACAAATTATCAATCATTTTCTTCTGTGTAGCAACAAACATATTGCTTATCCATGACTGTGAGAAACAATCAAAGACTAATTACTGTATGTAATTAAACTGAAGTCTACTGCTAATAATCATCTTTATAAAATAGATTGAAAAATGTGTGGCCTAAAGTACTAAAATAACTGGAAGAGACTTATTAGTATACTTAACACTAAGCACTAAGTCTAAACAGTTTTTTATTAGATTATTGTATTGCAGGCACATATACATATATTTAAACTACCACTAACAGATAACAGTGAACTTATAATTTTGCTTTTAGGTATTTTTCAAATGCTTTGGCATTTATGAAATAGTATATCTGATTGGACCTTTTTCCTTGTGGTTTTTTTTATTTAAATGCAACTCACCGTATAATAAAAAGAATGAAATTTTTGCAAATCACCTATGCAAGGAATAACTCAATCACCACCAGCTGTTTTTCTTAGATGAAATAAGTACCTACACTGCACAAATGTTTTAAAAAATAAGAGTATGTAATGAATTTGTCATACAGTTACAAAAGAGAATAGTTGGCCAGTCATACCACTATCAGATCAGCAAAAATTACAGCTAATTCTAAGACCAGACTTTGCTCCCCAGGGCCATATAAACTGAGCTGGAATATAAACAGGATTCCACACATTGCCCAGGGAGACAAACCAGAGTTTCCACCCCCTTAGCCAAAGATGTATAGACTGCCAAAGATGCGTATTCCGAGATGTCTATCATAGCATGAAGCCTTGCCTCATAATGCTTTTCCTGTTTGCTTTATGAATCAATCTGATGCTGGCTGACTTAAAAGCTTTTCTTCTCTATCCCTGATGGTAAAATGAAGCAGACTTTAGGATTCTGGAGAAGATCAGAAAATGACTCCCACTTTATTATTTTGTGTGGGTTTTCTTCCAATCAGATTCAAATGTTTGGAGACTCCCACAAGGCTCAGTTCTTGGATTTATGTTGTTCTATGTATGTGCTTTTTCATTTGGGGTACCTGATTCAGGGATATACTTTTGGGGTACTAATTTAAAGATACACTTTATGTGCATGATACCTTACCGTGATTGTTTCACTGTCTGAGGTCATCTGGAGGCTTTCAAATTCGCCTTAACAGCTAAGCAAGAGATATTCTAGAGATTTCAGAAAGTCCTCATAGCCTAAGGAAACCAGATTCTTATCCATTACATCATTTCTGGAATGATGTCTTTTTCTTCTTTTCAATTTCTTTTAATAAAAAGCCCAGGGAGACAAATAAGAAAATGGGGGGGGGGGGGGGGGGGTGGTGTGAATGGGGGAATCAAAAACTTACCAGGGGTAGTTTCTTTAAACCTAAACTGTATTGAAGGGAACTCTTGATTCTTAAATCCATCAAAACATTCTTGTGTCATCATCTCTGAAACAATCAAAGCCTACATAAAAAGTCTCTCAGAGATGCAATCATTTATAAAATTAATTTTCTTTATATCTCTCTGCATGACACCTGCAAATAGTAGTAATTCTGAGTAACCACTTTGCACATGCAAATTAATTATAATGCTGTGTAACCAAATGCCCACACCTTTTGTTTCCTGATTATGCTCAGTTGTCAAGGTTACTAACACACCCACACAAAACTACCAGGTAATCAGATCTTCTTCACATTAAATTTACTTTAATAGTCTTTGCTTTTAGACTAAAATGAGCTTCAATACAAACTTGGTCATTACTTTCTCCTTCCACAATATTAGGTTAGCATCTTGTATTGGCCTCAGAAGTAACTTTAGCACACAATCTTTACACTAACTTAAACACCAAAAAAAATCCAAAGAGCAGACAGATAATATTTATAATCTTAAAATAGTGGTGGAGGATGAATTCTACCCTTTTATTCATAAATTGGTAAGAAGATACTGCAGATACTGCAAGACACTGGTGCTGAAAATCCCCACTACATAGCATAATCTGAATCCAATCTAATTACCCAAATAAAACTGTGGTTTTATCACAGCTATATTAAAAGACACTTCATCCCTTGGCTGCAGGAAAGTCAGGGTGCTGCAAACTGATCCTTCTTTACTCTGGTTCTGAATTATTTTATTAATGTTCCCACGACATCAGTGACAGTGTTGTTCTCATTCAGTGATACCAACACTGTCAATGTAGTTCAAGTTTTTACCTTTATTTACACAAAACTGCCTAAAATATTGACATAAAGTGCTAGAAAGGAAACATTCAGAAAAATAGGCAATTTAGAGATGGTGTGAAACTGTGAGTGTCTGCATTGGAAGATGAAAAATTATTAAAGAAGGCAGTATAAAAACTGGCATGAGTAACCACTGTGTCAGTAAATGCAGCTTTTTGCCTTCACAGACAAAATGTACTAATCTGCAATTCAGAAGAAAGCCTTGGTAGTTCTTCTACCATGGATCAGCCTGTCTGAACTTTAAAATTTAGATCAGCAGTATTTCAATATTTCAATCATTTAAGTAAAAGCACAGCACTTATCTAAGTGTCTAAACCAGTGTTTCTTTAGCGAAAAATACCATTAGAACCACTGACAGAATTCAATTTTACCAGAATACTAGAAAAATATAACATACAGCAATTATTTCATTCTTAACATGCAGACTTCTCTGCTGTTTTCTAACTCTTCACATCCACCCCTAACCAAATAGAGCTCACAGTAATTAAAATGAAAGTAGAGTTAAGAAATCCTGATCAAACTCTTTGTCTTTCTGGAAACCATAAATTGACAACACAAAATTACCATGTCTGTCTCCAGTGTGCAGGAATAAGGAGCCCTTTTATTGGAAAGGACTCTAAAAATCATGTTATCATGAATTTTCTTTTAATTATAGGTATTTGAACTCTGGGAGAACCTGTTAAAGAAATTTTGTCAAATTCCAATAAATTTTATAGCTTGAAGAAATGAAAATGTGTATATAAGAACATAAAATTAAAAATCAGAGGAAATGTGAAGAGAGGACAGCTACAAAAGTTCTGAAGAGATTGTCTTTGTAAATTAGGGGTATTAAAATTTGTTAAGTTCTCAGAGTTAAGCAAAATACTCAGATGCATGCCTAATTATCTCTCTTTTTGTCATTTTAAATAAACAGATATTAATTTTGATGAATATGAAAGAAATTGCATTAATCAGGGACCACCACCAAACTATAAAACACAGGTCAATAGTTCATGATGACGGACAAGTCCAGCAATAATTTCAATGGCCTCAGTACTACTCTTGAACAATGAGTCTAACACAATCTCTGGCCTACATTAAAAAACTTGGAGATGTAAAGAGTATGAGGGAGAAAGGAAGAGTTTTTACACCAGCTGAAAACCACCACATTGAATCATGAGCCAAAGTACTTCTTTGCAATGATCAGACTTCAATTCATACCTGAACTCATGCATGTAAGAGGGGCTTAGGAAGTTTTACTAACATACCTAAAGACAGACTATGAGGAAAAATAATCAGAGCTTTAAGAAACTCAGCTTTTCTTTGACCTATATGTCAAAAACCTTAAGCAACCACATGCGTTGTCATACTGGAAGTTTGTCCTCTGGCAAGAGACCACATACAAAAAGTTTCAAGTGAAAACAAGATTTGTATATGGAGCTTGAAATGCATGTGGGACAATTTAGTTTGTAATTGAAAGCACACAGAGTGTTTTTTCTGAAAGGAACTACTGAAACTCCACTTTTACCAGAATTCTTGAAAATTTATTTCTTTTCTTTGTAGAAGGAATAAAACTCCTAGAGGAACATTTCTGTTTTGCACAGTACCATTAATCTCTTGTCCTCTTACCAAAATTACTTCCCCAAACTTAGAAAAAGGGAAGAGTTATTACTACACACATATTTTCAGAAAAAGAAACTTTAATGATAAACAGTTTTCTTCCTTTTCACCATTTTCTTTAAGAATGCACTGAAATGCTTG